TATTAATAAAACTTCTAAATCCCGCCAAATCAGAATAGTGCTAGACACATTGTAAAGCCTCCGATAAATACATGAATTAAAAATTTAAACTTAAAGTAAGAATAATTTAGCAGTATATCAAGTCTTTGGCACACTGATTCAGATTTCCTCATTAACATATTGTTTCAAACTGGGTAAACTTGAGTCAAACTGTTCAGAAATGCATATACCTTCCACAGTCCTTAAGTTTTAAAATCTGACTTTAAAATAAAAACCTAGAGTTCCTAGAAAAAAATGTACTGGGCGCCATAAAAAGTTTTAGAATTAGGCTCTTGTACTTAATTACCTTTATATGATTGTACTCCTAAATATATTATGTATAAGTTAAAATGTCACCAAGGATAGTCACCCACATTGCAGATAGTTTATATCATGTAAGTTTTAAATGGCAATTACCGTTACATGGCAAGTCCTCTAGAAACCCAGCACTTCCCTTTTATGGAAAAAAACCAAAGCATCTAATTTTTTCAAGAATTTTTTAGAGACTTGCAATGGACTTTCTTACACAAATAGCATTTGCTTCTGACTAAACTGTCAATGAAAACGAATTACAGCTCTCTCAATTTGAGTGAGTCCATCTGTCTTAAGTTATAAGTTTCAGATATACTTTGAAAGGTCACAATAAAGAGCCACTTAATTCTTAGATACTGGTAATTCCATTTTCTTCCATAATTGGAGTAAAAGGACACTGTTATACCTGTAAGGCACAAACTGCTACAGGGAGGTGAATTGTGTGGTCACATTTTACATCCAAGAGTCACTCTCAAATTCTGAACTGGATTCTTTCTAATTATAAATTTCAGAGGTGGATTGTATAAAAACCTAATCTGAGCAGAAGCATTGGACAATTTCCTCTCCCATTTCCATGTAAAATCCAATTCATATTTCTGAGCTCAAAAGCCAAAAATAATCATATATATATGTATGGCCCTAATATGCTAAATAGACCAAACGGTGCTCCAATTGGTTGCTATGACATGCGCTGACCACCAGGGAGCAGGCACTCAACACAGGAGCTGCCCTGATGCGCACTGGCACCACAGACCTGGCGCCCACAAAGCAACACTTGGCTTCCCCCAAGTGGGACACAGGCCCTGCCACCACCCCGGAGCGACAGCCCACCAAATCGCAACCAACACTGCCGAGACCCCATGGTGCAAAATGTGGCCCACAGCCCAGCTACATCACGTAGCAATGCCCAGCTTCCTCTCTCTACCCATGACTAGCTTCCTTGCAGTTTCTTCAGCCCAGGAACATGACTTGCTTTATAGCCAGGTGCAAACATTTCACACTTTAACCAAATGTCTGTGAAGCGTTTTCCCATGCCTCATCTCATTTGATCCTCACAGAAGTCCTGGGGCAGGTAGTTAGGAGACTCGGTGGAATCCTATTTTCTTTTCATTAGCCAGAAAACAGAGATTTAGTAAGTCAAGAAACTTGACCCAACTGAAAAGATGTAAGAAATGGTGGACCCTGAAAATGATTTCAGGTTTTGTCACTGCACAGAATATAGTCAAGCACTGCTGCAGTTAAATATTTACCCTTTGTTCTCCCTGCGTGACCTACAATAATAATCTGCTTCATGTTGATATTTACTGCTGTGTTGCTAGCAATTACCTGAAAGAGAAGTTGGGGTGCTTCATTGGGCTGAAAAAAGTTTAGCTACATCAGAAAGCAAAAAAGGGCCAATGGAGATATTAAAATATTTCTTCTAGTTAATTCCCTTTGCACCAGGCCATTAATATTAGTATAAATGTAATATGTCCAGATAATTTTTTACATATTTTATTAAATCTTAGGTTAGTTTATTAAGCAATTATATTTATTAAGTGTTTTTTTAAATCCTGACCTTGAACTTAAAGTAAAATAAAGGCTTCTGCTAAATAAAAAAGGGATATGTTAAGGAAAAATTATTTTAAAGATTATTGTTAATCATATAAACTGGTTTTGGCTTATTAAAGTACACCTAAAACCTGCATTTCTTAAACTTTATTTTTCACTATATTACCTAGTACTTTCTGTATATGACTAAGACATACCAGTGTATATGCATTTCACTCATTTAACTCTTTTCACTACTTCTAGATAAATTCTGATCTCCAGCCTTTTATTAAAGAAAAGACCAGTGACTCCACGACATTTAATCTGAACTCAGCTCCTGTAGTCTTACATCAGGAGATTCTCGGAAGAGATTTGTGGATTAAACAGATTGGCGAGGTAAATGAAAGTACTCCTATATTAGGTTCCAGTAGAATTAGCTGATTTTAGAACATAATTCATATTTTATGATAATGTAAGACAGTGGTTCTCAACCTTCCTAATGCCACGACCCTTTAATATAGTTCCTCATGCTGTGGTGACCCCCAATTTCATTGTTACCAATTGAATATAATTAAAGCATAGTGATTAATCACAAAAACAATATGTAATTATATATGTGTTTTCCGATGGTCTTAGGCGACCCCTGTGAAAGGGTCGTTCGACCCCCGAAGGGTCGCGACCCACAGATTGAGAACCACTGATCTAAGACATCAGCCATATAAATCAGCCATATATAAGAACTTATTCATATAACAGGTAAAATTCTTACTTTGTAATCTACATTTTAAGAGGTAAAATGTTACTTACAAGTTAGAAACTGCAATACTATGTTTGTTATTATCTGAGTTTTTAGAATACTGCAACATAAAACTAGTATGTATGGTGAATACTAATTAACTCAGATGATTTTTTTTTCCTAAAGGCTTTCAAAAATCGGGCTATGGTAATAGCACTACCCTTTAACTGACAGCAATTTTCCATCTGCAAACTGTAGCACAAGCTGCAGAATTCCAGGAGGTCCGTCTGTCAGCTCATTGGGTTATTTTAAAACAAACTTGGACCCTGAATATTCAAGTACTCAGGCATTATCATAGAGGGGGAAAGCATGGTTAAGTGGGAAGGGTAAAGGGGCTTAAGCTGGCTAATTTTCCCACTTTGGGGGCGGGGAAGTTGTGGGTGACGAAAGGAAACTTTTTTGGTTTTTGTTTAATCCAGAAACCCTGATTCAAAAGTTATTGCCCTTTTCCTAAAGCTTCATGGAATTTATGTAGCTTCATGGTTCTGATTGATTGGGTTAACCTGAGAATGACACAGGGAAGGAACCAGGCACAGCTGAGGGGGTAGCTACCATGCTTAAAGCAGAGAGTTCCTAAGTGATACCTGCATTCAGAAAGATAAGATGTTTGCTCTCCTCCCCCTCCTCCCCTATTGGCTCTCAAAATGCTATCAGCCATCTTTAAAATCCCTTATTCACCAGGTAGGAAACAATAGGATTCCATTCTGGGGAAATTGTCAAGTTCAGGCAATAAGACCTGCAGATGTGAATGATTGAGGCCCCTCAGTAAACATGCCATGTCCTTGCAGCCCTCCAACTGGGCCCACCAGTTGACAAGCCCCAAAGTATCCAAGTGCAGCACCACAGGTACTAGAGGACCACTGGGCATTTGAGTGAAACCTCTGCCATAAAAGAATGAGGCAAGGCTCTTCCTTTCCGATCCATCATCTGAGATGGAATGGCAGATTTTCATGAACGTCCTTAGAGGGAAGACCATCTCTCTCAAAGCTGAACCCTTGGATACAATAAAAAAATGTAAAGGCCTAGATCAGGGTGGGCAACGTTTTTTGTGAGTGCGAGCCAAAACCAGCAAAATCTCTGACTCAAAATTCTTCTGCGTGCCAACCCTAATTTTTTGAGAACATGTTACGCCTACTTGATATCTCTTAAGATGTACGTATGTGAAGAACCTTGAAGAAATAATAAAATTCATTCGAGCGACAAAAACACAGTATATGATGATGAAAAATACATTTATTTTTTAA